ATGGACGATGGGATCGTCTATCGACCCAACCCTAATGGAAACATGGCTAATAAAGTCATGATTTGAATTATATAATGATAATGTACTCGTACGATATGATATTATCAAAATATCAAACATAAATAGTCAAACATAAATAAGATGATTTTATTTGTAGTAAAGACATACTGTTAATTAAAATCCTACATTTCGAATGGATGTTGGTGGACTTGAATAAACTTAGTCCGCTAAAATACAAATATTTATGATTATGATGGTGAATGGTTGATTTAGAAATTTACGTGCCTTCATTCGGTCAATAACGACATATAACTGGGCAGTTTTTTTATAAGCACAGTCATCGATTTAGCATTATATTTGATCTTACATATTTAAATGACACATGATAACAGAAGGGGTGTCTGTTCTTAACATTTTTATTAAATCACATGATATACCAGTTATCAATCAAACATTTAATCACTTATTGTACTGGGTCATCTTGATATAACAATGCATATTCCATTAACAAAACTGCTAAATAAAACTGAAATACAAAAGAAGCTTAATTTAGAAGTAGGATTCTCAATAGATGGAAAAATGTAAATAATTCACACGATATATCGGGCACCATGTGACATGTTTCAATAGTTGCCAAGAAAAAACCCAAATGTATATGCTTCAAAGGCATTATAATAGAACACAAGTCAATTATTGATCATCATTACATAAAGAAGCTTTAGACGTCCGTATGTTGTTTGTTTTAAATACATCATTCAATATAAGATGAGTTACTAGCTTATTCTGTCTGAGGAAGACTTGGAGGCTGCTCGCATAACTGTTATTGTGTTTTTTTTTTAGTGCAGCACAGGATGAATCATCCTCTTTTTAAAAAGTGTAAAGGTCAAATAAGCCAGAATTATTGTGAGCAACAAAAGAAAAATAATGGGGAAAAGAGAGGCAAGGCATATATGATCAGACAGCATTGTTTGATGAATTGACTCTTTAGAGTAGTTGCTTTGTGTCACTAACGTCTCAAAGGATTTGAACTGAATCTTTTACAGTCTCAAAGTGTATGATATCTCTTTACAGAGTTGATATGACTGCCAATTGAAATCAGTGTCAATGAAAGGCTAACTTCAAAAAGCTGCTGTACATTTTTACTGATTTCTCGACTCACGCTGAGTGCACTGACTGCTCCTTTGAAAGTCATATAAAGCTGGATGAAATAAGAGGAAAGGGTTTAGATGAAATGCTAATACAAGTGGTCACAAGTAAAACACTGGATGAATGTTTAAGGGATATACATTTATTCATTTTCCTTCGGCTTAGTCCCTTGATTCATCAGGGGTCGCCACAGAAGAATGAACCGCCAACTTATCCAGCATATGTTTTACACAGTAGATGCCCTTACAGCTGTAACCCATCAATAGGAAACACCCATACACTCTCACATTCACACACGTACACTACGGACAATTTAGTTTATCCAATTCACCTATAGCGCATGTCTTGTGGCTTATGAGAGAAACCGGAGGACCTGGAGGAAACCCACGCCAACACGGGGAGAACATGCAAACTCCACACAGAAATACAAACTAACCCAGCCGAGGCTTGAACCAGCGACCTTCTTGCTGTGAGGCGACAGCACTACCCACTGCACTAACGCGCCACCCACTGTTAAAAGGATAGTTCACGCAAAATTTAAATTGTCATTTACTCCCTTTTTACTTGTTTTAACCTTTATAATAACCTTTCTTCTGTTTAACACAAAATAACATATTAACCTGCGCCCAGTTTTTGAGCATTTTCTTGACTTACCCAATTAAAATAGTCTAGCTTTTGAACCCTTTGCTCTTTGTTCACAAGTCTGGTTTTGTTTGAAACTAGACATTGGCTTGTTTTATTACTTAAGGGTCAAAATAACTCAAAGTAGTGAAGAAACATAGTAAAACGTGGTAAAACATAGGTGAATGTGATTTGCGATCAATTTTTTTTTTTTTTTTTTTTAAGTTTCAATGAAATTCATTAGAGAAAAAGTGGATGTGACTATCAGGAGAATGGCATTAAACCATCAAAAAGATTAAGCTGAATGTCTGACTATTTTGAATCAAATTTGAGGATGATACTCAAATGTAGCTTCTGTAAGCTGTTATTTTAAAAAGAAAAGAGAGCTGGAAACCTGTAACCATCGACTACAATAGTATTTGTTTTTCCTCCAGTCTTAAACAGAAGAAAGAAGCTCATCATGGTTTGGAACCACTTGAGGATGAGTAAATAGTGAGTAAATGTTCATTTTTGGGTAAACTGTGCCTCTAATTCCAGGTGGAAACAGGGCCTAAAGGTTTTAATCCACTCACAATCATTTAAAAAAATCGTGATTTACTTTTTTACTTTTTAATTACCAAACATTTTGGTAATAAAACAATTTGGATTCATTGTTTTCCATTCTGGATGTTTGATTAGCTTAGCAGCTTTTATAATTCTCTCATCAGTTTCTCTCTCTCCATGTTTCCCATGCAACAGTTTTTGCTGCTTTTTTTTTTTTTTACAGTTTTTAATATGTGTAGTTCTTGATGTTAAGTGTGAGCTTTGCTGAAAACATAAATTTGTGAATCTGATCTTCACACATATATGCTTAACTGAGGTCAGTTGAAGTTCACTCAGTTCAGGCAATTTGTGCTTGGTCCATCACCCCATGTGGATACCAAACAGTGCTCTTGGCTTTATACTTATGAGATGTCTGGGAGATGTATGAAAAGAGCAGCAACTTTTCTTGAAAGCACTATTTGGATGGGAATAGTTCTCCCTGAGGAATTAAATGTATGTTTCACATTCTTTCATATTGATTTTAATCATGTCCAAATCTGTTTTTCACTCAGGGACATATTCAGTGCAAGTTTTTTTCGTCTACTTGTGGTTCCTCTGAGAAACCAAACGCCATCTGGGTAAAATATCCTTGAATGCTGGGGGTTATTGTATCGTAATGTTTTCTCTAATTTGTTCTGACATTCATTGAATACTGCAACTAAAGCAAAAAAATATAGTTGTGCTGCCCCGTGAACTTTCAATATGGATTTAGACCTTTTTGCCAGCTTTCTGGGTGAAATAACAGTTGGTGGTTCATGTGCTGCTGGCATCTCATCTGATTTAAAAAGAAACCGAAATCATTAAGGAAAGTCACAGACTGCACTGAACACCGACTGTAGAGCAGCGTCTGGCCTGGTCCTCATCATTCATTAATTCTTTCTCTTTAATTATGCACCTAATGTTGTAGTAGATTTCAAAGTTTGGTTAATTTCATTGGGTCATCTTCAGGAACAAGTGTTGTTGGTGTCAAATGGCACATGAAGTCTCAGATTTGATTATTAAGTTCTCAAAAATTAGTTTATAAAGTTGTTGTTTTTTTTAACCAAAAAAAGTTTAAATTTGTAACAAGTATACATTTCCCTAGGAAAATAACTCCCAGACTGCTTAAATGTCAATAATGGATGAAAGTTATTGGTTTGTATTTTGGAAAAGTTTTGCATATACTGTTGATGATAATATTATCTCCATCATTGCAGCCTCTATTCACATTATTTTCATATTATGAATCCTCAAAACACAAAGTTATGTATTGGCTGGCTTCATTACACTTTAACGTTGTCTTTATAGCATGTGTATTGATACTGAAGATGGTGCACTGTTACAGCCAGCTCTTAAGCTACAACAAAAAGGAGGACCAGACGCAACCATCGTAGGCAAAATAACATTTAACATAATAACGTGAATAATATAAAGTAAATAAAACAGTCAGGGCCAAATGGAACAGTCAAAGTTTAACCGAGCTCCATGCCAAGTCGATCGCTAAGATCCCCAGTCTCCTAAGAGCACACCAAACACTGTTTATATCCACATCTTAACAAATCACCTTTAACCTGTAATTGAAATGCATGCACTCATCACATGCACTATGGAAGAGCCATAGATGTGTCAAATAGATACATTTGACATATAGATAAAACCTAGATAAATTCAACAGCCTGTTTCTTTATAAAAATTGTATTTGCTCAATTGCTTAGATTCTAAAAGTACTATTATCTCTTAAGATGGCGTAAGAAATGTATAATTTTTTTTAATTTATTGCCAGTGGTTGCAATATTCAACTCTGGCAAAGATATCTGATATGGGTATGTGCTGATTTTATTATCAATACTCAGACAGTAATGTTTTGTGTCTTTATAGCATTTAAAGGCACCTATGATATTTATCTTCTTTTGTTAGGACAGAACTGTGTTTAGGTATAGTGTCTCTACTGTAATATTTGGGTGATATAAAGACAATGTCTCTTTTTTTTTTTTTTTTTCTCAATTTCCTGATGTTAAAATAGGATCCAAATCCCTCCGCAACATGACGTAGGAGAACTGAAGTGAATTGATTGACAGCCGCATATTAACATGTCTCTGTAGTAACCTGATAACCATATCAATATAGAATGTGCACAAAGCAACTGGATTTACAAGATTTGTTTAGCTCGCTGTGATCATCAGTCATCAAATGTGATCAAGAATGAGTTTTATAAGTTTATAACATTTTTAAAATGGTGCATGTTTGTAATGAATTACAGCGAATAATTTTTTTTTTTTTTTTTTTTTTTTACCATCTTGATCACCACAGCCGCATGTCAGTAAAATTATAAAAGAAGACGCTTCGATCCTGGTTTGTGGATGTTAAATCAGGTTCATTTTGTACATTAACATAATGGATATCCATACAACAGTGGAAATTAACACGTAACCTGTCACTTTGCCGTGTAAAGTTACATATTTTTCAACAAAAGATATGTTATACACTGTAGAGAATATATCATAGAACTATCTGTTGTGAAGAAAAAAAAATCAGCTGCTCAGAAATGTCATTAAAATAAGTTTGCAAATGCTATGCAGAGGTTTTTTTTTTTTTTGAGGTACAATTTTGTTTTATTTTTTTCACATCATCTGACAACATCTGAATATGAGACGCATAATTTTTCTGCACAGGAAATGACTCTAGAGGAGAGACAACTAATCATGGATCTGAAAAAGTGTGATTTTGGGGAGCTCCATGCCATGCATAAGGAGAAGGTGGAAGCCAGGAAAAACCTGAGCAAAGAGGAGAAGTTGGTGTGTCTGTAACATTAAAAACTATTTTAATATAAATCAAAGTTACAATCTTTTAATAGAGCGCTGCATCACTCAGACTAAATAACCAATGTTCCTCTGAATTCTCCAGGTTAATAAAGAGGCCAATCAAAAAATAGTCGACGAATATGGGTTCTGTGTGTTGGACCACCATCGTGAACGCATTGGCAACTTTAAGATTGAACCTCCAGGTCTTTTCCGAGGCAGAGGAGACCATCCTAAACAGGGAATGCTGAAGAAGAGGATTCGACCTGAGGATGTTATCATCAACTGCAGCAAGTGAGGCTTTTCATATCTTAACAGTCCCAAGTCAGCACAACTTTTTCTGTTCGTATTATGCGGTAAGAAGTGGAATCATGTCTGTAGCTCTGTGTATGCAAGGCCTAACAAAAGCACATTGCAGATATATCATAGTAAGTTGTCAAATAGGAAAAAAGATATTTTCACTTGAGAGCAGTGTGCAATGCAATGTCGAGTGTTTTTTTTTAACTGTTCAGAGAAAATTGTAAGTATGAATGTACCCCACAGAGAATCTCGTATCCCAGAAGCCCCAGCCGGTCACAAATGGAAGGAAGTTCGTCATGACAAAACCGTAACATGGCTAGCAAGCTGGACGGAGAATGTTCAAGGATCCTGTAAATATGTAATGCTCAATGCCAACTCCAAACTTAAGGTATGTGTTCTATTTTGTGCACTATTTAATGTTTAAAGGGATCATGAATGGAGAAAGCTAAATTTCCTTGATCTTTAGAAAACAAGTCATTATACTAAAGAAATGTTATGCAAGTTTAGGAACTTTAAGATTTTCTTTTTACATTCTCATGAAAGCAAATCCTCCAAACACAGGTTGTGAAATGTGTTTTTATTGCAACACTGTGACTGTAACTTACTGTTAGCTCCACCCATAGATTTTCACTTGTGTCGTAACAAACTGGAAAAATGCAGCCGTTGAATTGCTTTTCTTTTGATCTCAATATTAGAAGAGTGGATAGACTTTATTTTTAGTGAAGTTCCAGATATTTTACACTTAAAGCTTCTTTTAAAGACACTCATTGTACACTATCAAAATCACACTCTTAATATTTTGTTGGACAGCCTTTCTCCACAGTCCAAAGACAAGTCCAAAGTACAGGTTGATTAAATAAACTAAATTGGCTGTAATGTGTGGATGGGAGTTTATAAGTGCAACCATCAATTCTGGGTTGTGACTGGAAGGGCATTAAACAATTGGCAGAGATATTGGAGAATCATTCCACTGTGGCGACTCCTGATAAAGCAGCAAATAAGCCGAAGGACAGTATTTGGGCAAGAAGCAAAGTTGAAGTTAGAAAAGGGATTGAGAAAGGTCTGCAAGCTGGGTTTGAACTCGGGACACTAGAAGCTCAGTTGTGTTGGCAAACATGTTGACGCGATGACTACGAGGCTATTGGTGCCTTTTCTTTGCTGTCATGTAAAGTCTTCTACAGCACATCCAAAGATTGTCAATAGGTTTAAGGTCTGGACTCTGTGGTGGCCAACCCATCTGATTAATGATGTATCATGCTCCCAGTCATTATTTTAGACTGATCAATTCTGGCAGTCATCTTGGAGTATGCCTGGTTCTGATCGTTTCTCACCATGCCTCCAGTATTTAATGAAGCAGTATGCAGTTCTTAACCTAATATTAGCAGTTTTAGCAGTCTCCTTCGAGGAATCCTTCTTTGCTGGATGCATGCTAATAATTTGACATTTTACATGGCTGCTGGATGCGTCATCTGTGGTCATGGTTAAGAAATGAGAAGCTACTCATTGCATCAGTTGGTGTTAAATAGCTTCTTACCAGATGAAATCTCTTCATCCATGCAGTAATTATCCAATGGGAGGCTCTTACTTACTTGCTAAGTTGACTCTATATGGTGACTTTTAACTTGGGTGGGCAGTGTATTCATGGAAAAAATATTTATTGTAAAAGTTCATATACGTACAAATACTGTTTCAACAGCATGGTGAGGTTACATCATTTGGTGTGCTTTAAGAGTCTTTTAAAGCTTTATAATTTATAATAAAAATCAATTTTCCTCTTTCAAGAAAGTTTTGACTTCTGAAACTTGACTGCGCTCTAAGTTTCTAGTTTTTGCTCGGAATAAGCTGCAGTCTGAGCGTAACCATGCTGTTAAGAGTCTGGCTACGTGATGGAAATATTTCACTGACAACCTTATCCTTCACTTGATTAAAGCGTAATTGTTGCCCTCTGCTTTCTCTCTCTGTCTGCACATTCCTTCGTTTCCAACTCCTCTTCACGTCCTCTTCACCTCATGACTGTCTGTTTTTGTCACCTTGTTAATAATAGATGTGATTTGATGTCGCCTTTTAGTGCCGAGTCCGGGCCAATCAAACAGAGCAGACGTGTATTCTCGTGTTCTGCCGAATCACGCTCGCTTAGTTTCAGCTCAGCACCTCATCTTCACCCTCGTTCCACTCACTTCCTTTTATTAATTAAATTAGGAATCAAAGCGATCCTTTCCATCAGAACTCTGTGATGGACGACTCAAGAAGCCAAATGATTGTAACTGAATAAGAACAGATTCAAAATCCAGTCGCATCATTTGATTTCTTTCTGATTGGTCTTCATTTGTCTGTCTGTTTCCTGTTGCTTTCTTTGTGCTGCATTAGTATTACTTTATTTTTTACCATGTTGGTCACTTTACTGTTGCTGTGGCAACAAAGTAACTTTTAAAAGTAACTTTAATCTGCAAATTAGGGTGGCTGAAATCTGGCAGTCTGACATTCTATTACTATTTTTAAGACCTGTCAGGTTTTTTTTTATTGTTTTTAATTACTTTTATTGGAATTTTCTTTGTTTGTATTTCCCTCCATTTTTCTGCTCACAATATGAGTTTTTTATGTATTTATTGTTTATTTTATTGTTGCAAAATTGTTATGTTTGTCTGAGATAATTAGTCTTACCAAAGCCTATCGGTCAATTCTTGTAACGTGATCTGCGGTGCACTTGCGAGATTCATTCAACTGGGTGTATCTGGTCTTTTTTTTTTTATTTTATTTTTTTTTTTTATTGATTGTCAATATCGATTAAAAAAATAATTAAAAATTTGGTTTGAAGTTTCGGTATGAAACGCTACAGTTTTAAAAATTGTGGCTGCTGATCGTGCACCTTGAAAGCAGTGCTAATAAGCTTAGGGTGGCAGTTTGTCATTTCCAAAGGAGATTTTTCCAGGATTTTCACAATTTTCAAATTTTCCAGCCGCACATAGTTGAAAACATCTAAACTTTTCCGAATGTTGCGAGCGCACAGTGATTCGTGTAAGTAGAACCAACCAACCTGGTCACACTGTATGGAATATACACATTTCAGTTATAACGGCAGACTAATTACCTCAGACAAACACAAAGCATCCAAACACCGCAGTGCTTTTTACTTTCCGAGCGCACACGCTTGTCACTTCAGGTCAAAAAAACAACACACGCAAAAATGAGTGTCGTATAGCAGCAGTGAGGAGATTGTAGAAAAAAATAATAATAAAAATAATTCCAGCCACTAGCCCCCCCATCTGAAAGATTTTTTAGCATTGGGGTTAATATAGTCATCCAACTTCACAATTTGTAATGTTCAGTATGTATTTAAAAAATGATGGTTGGTTAGCTCACTTGAAAGCTCAGATTTGATTATTATAATTTGAGTTGTTGACAGAGTCCGAGGTTTATTGTATGATTATTATTCACATCTTAAAGTTAGCTTTGATTGTTCAGTATTTACGCTTTACCATTTCACACACTTTGAAACATTTTTTCTATCAAGTATAAGAGTCTCTTCAACACTTATGCTTATTTTATTATAAAGACATCAGATATTTTGTTTAAATATTTTTGCTTTTGACAATAAAACTATTTTCCTTAGTAATGTTGGTAAATTAAAACAAAGCGGTTAAATAACAAAAAAATAATAATAATCATAATGTACCTTAATGTATTGTAAAAAAAATATTCAATATTTATCTATATCGAGTGATATAAAACATGATATCATGATCATTCTTTTTGCAATATCACCCAGTCCTATGTCAAGCTATAATTTAGAAGTAAATTAAAGTCACAGAAAATCTTTTTCTTGAAGATTTAAACAAATGCTGCAGATCAACACATCTAAGTTCAATCTTTATTAAATACAATGAGTTTTGTCATAAATTCCTTATCCTTTATCTTTTCGGTAGGACATATGTTTGAGACTATTACAGTCAGTTAGCTAAAACTTAACACCATATTGAAGCCTAATGTCACTAAATCTCCTGACATCTTGAAATCTTAATATTATTCTTTAGCTCCCATCAGAATCCAATCATTTTCTTAAGAATAAGATGGTACTTTAAGACGCACTACTCATGATACTGTACGCCAGGTCATTTAGTTCCTTGCTTTACTTTGCTGCTTCTTTGTTTGTTTAGGGTGAGAAGGATTGGGAAAAGTATGAAGTGGCCCGTAAACTGAAGACGTGTGTGGATGCCATCCGAACCCAGTACCAGGAGGACCTCAAGTCCAAACAAATGGGCACACGCCAGAGAGCCGTAGCCCTTTACTTCATTGACAAGGTCAGGCCACGAAAGCATCACAGACATAATTTGTGATCCTGCACTACATAAGTAAGCTTTCAGTCATGACGATTTGATTTTAGAAAAAAAAATAAAAAAATAGGGTTAGAGTGTACAGTTAATCAGTTCATGTCAATTAAGCTGCTCGTTGAGAATAAATACAGCAGAGAGTGAGGAAATGACACAGAACAGCATGGGGCATTTACTCTGGGGTTTACATTTGTATAAAATCTTACACCACTTTCGCAGGTGTTCACTTTGAAGAGATCTTATCATTAATTTTTTTTTTTTTTTCCTTCACTGTGGTCAAATTGAGTTCTTTGAGGCATTATTTAATTTAGCTTTTTGGAATTTTAACACCTGTTTCACTGTGTGCATGGGCCAGATGAGACAATAGTATTTTAACCTGTATTTAAATTAAAGAGTCACATTAAGCACAGAAACCAGTATTTTTTTTATGGTTGCAGCTCATGACATGTTCTACTTTTGATTTTTTTAGATGTCTTTGGTCAATGTTTCAGTCTAACTGCGCAAGTTCGTTTGTAAAGAGACGAGCCTACTCTTTCATTGATTTGTGTGTGTGTTTACCAGGGATCGAATAGAAGTTCAAATTAACCACTTTAACAGAGCTGTCACAACAGAGTTTGTTTTTATTCAGCCAAACCTGCCAAGTGTGAACACACTCTCTCTATATTTTTAATCTCGGAATTTTGACTTTCTTGCAAATGCAAGTATATTTAATAGTTTCTTTGTTTTGTTATTCTCAGAGCTGTGACTTCTCTTATGAACATCTTTTTATCATTCTGAAAAACATGTGCATACAAAAACAAACCAGTTCTGTGTGGTGATACTGGATCAGATGTTACATCTAGTATTAAAGTTAACTCTAATTACATTTAATTCTACCATAATCAGTGTTTCTGCAGGGTCTTAAAGTCTTAAAATGTCTTAAATCTCAAAATCTAAATTTTAGGCCTTAAAAAGTCTTAAAATCACTGAAATAATGTGCTGTAGGTCTTAAATCTTGTTTAAACAGGTCCTAATTTTCCTTTGTTCATAAATTGCTACCCAATCTGGATTGCATCGCAATAGATCTTTTTATTTTAAAAAAAGGTCATTTTTAACTTTGTCATAATGGTTGAATTGTTTTCCTTAAAATAAAATTTCTTTAAAAGTTCTCCATGTTGATTTAGTTTATTATAGTTTTTAAAACATTAAAGAAAAGTTAAAGTTTAATGAAAAAAATGAAAAAAGTGTATGAATACAAGTAGATTTTGCTTGTTTTTGCACAATATTAAAAATATTTTTTATCGAAAATATGATTTTTTTTTATTATGAATGTATTATTGTATTAATAAATGTATTCAATTATAATAAAGCATTTTTTTTGATAGGGCAAATAAAAATCTTTTCCATCTGGACCACTTGAAAAAATCCTTAGGTTTTAGCTCTTTATGTGTTTAAAATTTCAGTCATAATGGTCTTAAAAATGTATTCAAAAGACTCACATTTTACTATGTGAAACCTGCAGAAACCCTGATAATGCAGCTTTCAGTCCAAACATATTCGCAAACAGCCAAGAATTTGCTCTAAGGTGGTCTGGGAATGCTGTGTCATGTCTTCGTGTCTGTGTTAAACTCTTCAGCTGGCTCTGAGAGCAGGTAATGAAAAGGAAGAGGGCGAGACGGCAGACACCGTGGGTTGTTGTTCACTCCGCGTGGAGCACATCACTTTACACGATGCACTGGACGACCAGAAGTGTGTGGTAGAGTTCGACTTCCTGGGTAAAGATTGCATCCGCTACTACAACAAGGTTCCTGTGACCAAAAGGGTGAGAACCTTTCAAAATATTAATTTCATGACTGATGCCTGATGTTTTTAATGTATCATTGATGTAATATTGAGATGAATAGTGAATAGAGAAAATAGTGGCTAGGTCATGTGTGATGCTGGTGGAGGGAAATGTTTTTTGACATTCTCCTTCAAAACGCCCCAAAGTGGCTCAATAATATTAAGATCTGCTGACTGTGCAGGCCATGGGAGATGTTCAATGTCACTTTCATGATCATCAAACCACTCTGTCACCAGTCTTGCTGTGTATATTAGTGCATTACCATCCTAATACACAGCACCACCGAGATACAATCTTTGAACCCCTGGGTATGCATGGTCCTCCAGAATGGTTTTGTAGTCCTGGGCAGTGACACTCAATCTAGTAGGAGTATTGGGCCTATGGAATGCAATGATATTGCAGTCCAAACCATCACTGATCCATCTCCATGCTTCACTCTTTGTATGCAGCAGTCTGTGTGGTACGCTTCTTTCGGGCTTCTCCACACCGTAATTCTCCAGGATGTGGGAAAGACAGTGAAGATGGACTCATCGGAGAGCAATACATGTTTCACATTGTTCACACCCCAAGATTTTGACCAATTGTAATCACATAACCAGATGGGATTTAAACCTTGCCATCTGAAGCCATAAGTTTGATGGAAACAAAGAATAAATAAAAAACGTCCTGATAATAGCACAAACCCAGAGTGTTTGTCTTTGTTTTTCAGCTGTCAGAGCCGAAACCAAAGATGAAGCTCCTTGCATTTTTATTTTGTTTACATTTTTACATTCATATGTAAATTCTAAAAGTTTCACAATGTTAGATTGAAAGATTAGGAAAAGAGCCAATACATAGAGCAGCCCATAGACCCTTCAAATAAATCAGGAAAGTGGTCAAAGGCAGACAAAGGCGACTGATTAAAACACCAGGTCTAATTGGGAATGTGTCTCTCCATCGTCTACTTGTAATCCCATTGACCAAAACAATTGTGTAAACATGCCTTAATTACCATGGTCATAACAGGTGGGTGATTATTATTGCAGCACAGCTATAGAAAGTTTTGTGTCTGCTGTTTGCTAGCATTCAGATCATGCAAAAGCAGTACTGTGTGATTTCTATGCTCTGACACTCGGCGACGTTGTTTACTTGCATAGGTTTCATAATGTAAATGAGAACATTTAAACGAAGCTAATCAAGTCAGAATTAATTAGTTACTGAATTTCTTGAGAGTTTTATATTGGGCGACAGGCAGACTTTGCAGAAATGTCAGATATAATTGCAGGTATCGGGAAAACCAACCCCCACTTTCTCTTCACCCTGTTTACAAGAATAATGAATAACAATTAAAGCCTTTGGAAGTTTGTGTGACATGACCTGGAACTGGTCTGTGATTTTTAGTTTCATTAGTGTCAATAAGCAGTTATTATTATTTAATTTTTATAGAATAAGATATGACACTTAAATGTATATCAAAGACTGCACATTCAGTCAGCAAAACACTGAATGTGTAATACAACTTTAAAAAGGGCACATACTAAAGCATGAATATGTATATATGTAATTCTTTTTTTATAAATATGAAAATATATGATTTGCTAGTTAGGGGTATCTTTAGATGCCTTATGTCTTATATTGCTGCACCCCAAAGTAGTTTTAATTGTATACAACCAGCCATTTAAACCATAAACCTTGTAAGTACATGTAGGTCAAATAAATTTGTTAAAATATCTCTTACATGAAAAATGGATCAATTTAACATACTTTACTGCAGAAAAGTCATTTAAAATGGATTCAAAAGTCACTTTTCTTATAATTACTCTTCGTTGAGTGTACTTTGTATGTGCTGTACATGAAATGCTGTGGACATCAAAATGGGATGTTTCCTCTCTTACCCATACACTCGCCGGCCACTTTATTAGGCAAACCTGTCTAACTGCTTGTTAAAGCAAAATTTTTAATCAGCGAATCACATGGTAGCAACTCAACTCATTTATGCATGAACATGGCTCAAGATGATCTGCTGCAGTTCAAACTGAGCATCAGAATGGGGAAAAAAAAGGTGTTTTAAATTGCTTCGAACATGGCATGGTTGTTGGTAACATGGCTATTTCAGAAAATGCTGATCTACTGGGATTTTCATGCACAGCCGTCTCTAGGGTTTACAGAGAATGGTCAGAAAAAGAGAAAATATCCAGTGAGCGGCAGTTCTGTGGGCGCAAATGCCTTGTTGATGCCAGAGGTCAGAGGAGAATGGCCAGACTGGTTTGACCTGATAGAACAGCAACAGTAACTCAAATAACCACTCCTACAGCCGAGGTATGGAGAAGAGCACCTCTGAACGCACAACATGTCCAACCTTGAGGCGGATGGGCTACATTAGCAGAAGAGAACACCGGGTGCTACTCCTTTCATCTAAGAACAGGAAACTGAGTCTACAATTTGCACAGGCTCACCAAAATTGGACAATTAAAGATTGGAAAAGCGTTGCCTGGTCTGATGACTCTCGATTTCTGCTGTGACATTCGGATGGTAGAGTAAAAAACATGAAAACATGAAAGCATGGATTCATCCTGCCTTGTATCAACGGTTCAGGCTGTTGGTGGTGGTGTAATGGTACTAATAGGCACAAAGTTTGCCAAAAAAATACACCAACTGAGCGTTGTGTCAACACCACACCGAGTATTGTTGCTGACCATGTCCATCCCTTTATGGCCACAGTGTACCCATCTTCTGATGGCTATTTCCAGCAGGATAACACACCATGTCAAAAAGCATGAATAATCTCAAACAGATTTCCTCAATAGGAACAATGACACCACTTAAATGGCCTCCACAGTCACCAGAGCTCAATCCAATAGAGCACCTTTGGGATGTGGTGGAATGGGAGATTTGCATCATGACTATTCTGACAATATTGCAGCACCAGAGTAATGCTATTCTGTTAATATGGACCAAAATCTCCAATTAATATTTCCACTACCTTGTTGAATCTATGTAATGGAGGATTAAAGTAGTTCTTAAAAACTCATGATACACTATTAATAGGTAAATACTGTTAAGAACAATTCTGTCAACTAGAGGCCAATTAGAATGATTAAATGTTTGTCTTGTATCATCGAAAATCATGCTGGAGAACTTAATTATATAGTTTTACACAAACTTGTGTATTTCATGCAGCTCAGGTGCAAATTATGGAGTGATTTAGTAGTATAAAGGATTGAACAAAAACTGAGGCAATGTGAAATTTGCATTCATTAGGCTTTTTACTCAAACTATTATTATGCTGATAATATTTGTAATGAGAAATGTTGTTCTACATTAGAAAAATGCAAAAAGAAACTCTCTCACTAGCACGCTGACAGTTTTGGGCCCACATTATCCGCTGTTGAATATGTGATCCTGTTAAATGTTGATTTCCCCCTCAATGTGCTTATTAGACAGGAAGGTCAGCATATGAATCAATCATTACCAACATACGACCATGTCAAATTGGGGGGAAAATTGTTCCAGAAATACAAATTCTGTCATTGCTTGGCGAGCGGTCTGTTTACTTTCTTCTTCATGCATTTGGCTCAAGGATAAATTGTTATTCAAATGAGGCTGATTTAAAAGCACCACATCTGCTACCATTAATTAGTTCCATGCATATTTTAGCTGGTTTATTTAGTAGGAGTAGAGGAAAACAGGACTTCTGCAAAATGTCAAATATAATTGAGAGTGTGTCTCTCTCTCTCTACAACCTCAGTTCTGTGCATATGATAAACAAGCTAACATGTGTTTTCTGTTTCAGGTTTTTAAAAACCTCAAGCTTTTCATGGAAAACAAGCAAGGAGGAGACGACCTCTTTGATCGACTCAATGTGAGTGTAATGTTCTGAAACGGCGGCAGACAGTCATAGATTTTTCATTCTGAGGGATCCGATTCTCAAGAGGCTTGCGTCAAAAGAGCGTGCTTTTTTTTCTTTTCTGCTTTTTTTTTAAACGTATTTCAGTCTTAATTTTTACAGCCAAATAATTTTACCCTCAATGAAGGACAGAGAGACAGATTGTGAGGGGAAACTGGAAAACTGTGTGCATGTGTGAGAGAGAAAGACAGTGACAGAGAGAGAGAAATGTGCCCCCTCGATGAGGTCAGGTTAGTAATGGTGGGCCATCGTGGAGGGGGATCGTTAATCTGTACTTTGGGCTCTTCCGATTGACACGGCGAAAGGCCGAGTGAAGGGTTGAACGAGGAAGGATGCGGCAGAGACTCTAATACTGGCCCTATTCTACAAAGTGCTGCAAATCTTATTACATGCCGCTGTGCTTTTAAGCTTGTGTGTGTGTGTGTTGCTAGGAGAAAATAAATGCTGTGCACTTGGCTGAACTCTCAACCGAACAGATGCTGATTTGTATATTACATATAATCAATATCAAGGAGGATACTTGCTGTATAGTGGGTTTAAACTCGTACTGCTGCATTTATGCTATTTCTTTGCAAAGGGGTTTGTGGCGTTCCAGCACACTAAAACGCTAGATAAATAACAAACTCCAACTGAAAGAGTTTGCACTATAAGTTTATGCTGTTTTGCTATTGAATGACATTTTTGTGTTTGTGTTGTACCAGTATACAATAAAACAGGAGAGATGTACTTTAAACTTCAGCTGAAAGAATATTGTGAGCTTTATGCTTATGTTCTCTCTTTAGCTATTGAATACCATGTTTGGTTTGGTCTTATTTTGCTAGCTAGTTATGTTGGAGACATTGCCTGCCTGCCACTTTTTGTTTGTATTTACTTGTTAGCTAGTTATGTTGAATGTATGACTATTTTTTTGTTTTTTGTAGTTGGAGTTTTATTTAGTTGATTTTGATCAGTTTGGCTTGGGTAAAGATGTAGGCTTTTTTCCCTCGGACTAACATTTGTTTTCTGTTGTTATGGAAGCGCTGCGTTTTTGAAATGGCAGCAGTGTAGCGAGGCGCTGAGATTGTGTTTTTGGTGAATCGCTGAGCACTCCATGTTTTTAAAATTCAGTGGCTGACTTTTTAGCAGCACAGAACCACTTTGGTGGACACACGCTCTTATTGCTTTTGTATTGTAATAATAGTTAGATATCTTTAAGATACATTTTTTTGTGGTTATACTTTTATCTTCACTGGAGTCACACTAAAGCTTTGATCACATCAAAAGCACTTTTTGCATTAAGTGACACCTTTTTTCAGTGGTTTACTAATGATGTACTGTAAACGTTTTGCACAGTTTATGGGCTCTGTGCGCTTTACATTTTTAACAGACTGCTGTGCCTCGAGTTTTTGTTGTTCTGCGATGTGCACCCACAGTTGAAAGAGTGTCAACTCTGAACAGAAAATGTTACATTAATCACGTTTTTTTTTTTTTCATCAATCAAATAAGCAGAGGCTGGGTTTTCAATGAGGTAATAGCCGTATATGTGTTGTCAGGATGACTACGGCGACTTTAAAGTCTCCAAAAAATGATAAATCTAAACTAATCATATGATTTTGTTAGTTCAACAACAACATTGAACAATTCGTGTTTATGTGATTAAGAAAAAAAATGCTCTTCTGATCTTTAATTGAAACACTTCATGTTTTTTTTTTTTTTTAAGTTGTAATAACTGTCCCCAAACCCTTTTCCCCATCTTTCTGATTGAAATGCTTATTTTATATAAATTCAGCTCACAGTAGAAAAAAAAAGCCATGTCCACGCTTTTGTCATTTAATATTTTGTTTCTCTAGGAACTCAGTCACAATAGGAAACAAATAACACTCGCAGCTTCCAGTTCATGCAGACTTTAAAAGAACACAAAACAAAGACCACAAGTCTCTCCTCATTATCCGGAACTATATGACTTCACAATTCTTGAACATCCCAATATTATTAAATATTAGGGATGCTCCGATCAGCTAATACAGACTACAGATTCCTTGTGATGGTGATCGGCAGATACCGAGCACTGATTCTGATGCTTCAAGCTTTATAATGCATAAATCACATTTCCTTATAAGTATGATACTTAAGTAGACTTTTCTCCTTAACATACAGTATAAATGAAGGATGCTGCATATAATTCCTTATACGCATCTCATCTCAGTGGACAAAACGCTGGTTATACAACGGCTGCAACAAAGAGAGCATCACTATAAACAATAAACAGTAATTTATTTATTCGCAAATAAATAAATTATTCACAATATTTTTTTTTCGCAAAAACTATAAACAGAGGTCACGACATCTGTACATGATGCGAGTGCAGTGATTCTTACGCGTTTTATCATTGCTGGTGTATAATACAGGTGTGCACATGCCTTTTGAACAAAACTCAAACACTTGCCAATCTAGCTGATCTCACCAACTGATTGCAAGTACAGATCAATTCCTAAAATGTGTATATTGCCCGATGCCGATTGGTCAAAGCATCCCTATTAAATATTACAATTCTAACAATATCAACTGCAGCACTTGTTTACAATACTTATCAGATTTAGTCATTGTCTAGCGACATAAAAAGTGAACCACACTTTATTATTTTTTCTGTCAAAATAGACAGTGTGTTGCGGCTCGCATTCTCAAAAAGGAAAAGTACGTTCAGTGTGATCTGCCCTTAAGCCATTCTTTATGAAGTGAACAAGCTGAAGATGTGAACTGACTGAGTGCATAATTCAATATTTTGCATGCCACAGTCGTTCCCTTATCTATTGTTTTGCCTCCTCTTTCTCAATTAGTATCAATACAATAGCAAAATCAAGACTTATTATACTAATACAACAGTTAGCAAAGAACATTGAGCATTTTTTTTCCCCCCTCGCAAGGGACATTGTGCTGCAGTTGTGTTCCCAGAAGTATTGCTCCGCTAAACACACATACACATAAGCTGAGTTCCTCTGAGTCACTGGGTGTCCTAACCAAAATGTCACAGTGTTCCCTGATGAACAGTGGCAAACAGAGCTAGATGTTCAACATGCGTCAAGTGTCTTTCCATGCGCGTGTCATTAGACAGCGGCTCATGTGCCACACTAGCAGTGGTTGACATGCTAGAACACGGGCGGCGTCATTAGCATTCAGTGTCTTTAAACACATCACATCTAGTTTCATTTAGATTCAGGTGACCGTTGTCTGCTGCCTCCTTTGATACCACACTTTTTGAACTTAACCTGTTTTCTTGCTGTTTGAGTATATGCATTTTACTCAGAGTTCGCTAACACAAACTTCATGCAATTGATATTACACTGGTTAAATTTCGGTTTATACTTCGCTACAATATGAGAATGAAAATGGAATGGTCAGAACTGCATTGCAATTCAGTTGTTTGAGCTGAGATAGTGGATAAGTTCCCATTGTGAGGCTTAAATAGGATGTTTGTATTACTGTACATACCAGTGCAGAATGATGACACATGTGGACTAAAAGTTGTATGAGGTCACATTGCAAAACATCTGGGGTCTCGTGTATCAACTCTGCATACGCACAAAAACTTTGCTTATGCCAAATTTCACTCTCGTTTCGTTCTCGCATTTGGATTTACTAACGATGAAGTAACGTGATTGTGCGTTGGTCCAAGCCAACTTCATGTCTGAAGTACATGTATTTCTTGTGTGTGTTTGTATTATTTCAATTGGTGACTCTTAAAGGCAATTATGTTAAATTGCACACTACAAAGTATCGCACCAACAAAGTATCCTGGCAACTGGTTCTTTCCGAAGGGAACAGGCAGAGCGCTCTGGGTTAAGCCAGTCGTCTATGAGACGTGCAATGCCAGCTGTATTAGATGGGATCATCCGCATGTCTAGCAGGCATTTAAGATTTCCATACCAAGCAGTTGACCAGCCAAACATTAAAGCGCAATTTGCTGCGATCGCCAGTTTTCCCAATGTAATCGGAGTGATCCACTGCACGCACATTTCTATAAAGGCACCATCTGAAGATGAATTTGCATACATGAATCGGAAACATTTCCATTCAATCAATGTGCAAATAATATGTGACGCTCAAATGTGATTGGGCAGCTGAAATGTTGGTGACGCTGTCTTGATAAGTGTGGAAGGGTGCTGCTATACCGCCCTAACTAAGTGTTCCTCTACATCTGTGTCTCCCACAGACACGGATACTACTCCAGACAGTAAAGTGTCGCCCAAAATTGAGGCAACTCTCTCCTCAAAGGGTGTTAGTTCCCCCGCCTGTTTGGTCCACACTTTGCCCGGTGCCCCGATGTTCTCCTCTTAACCTGCACCTTTACATTTGTCTATTTCTTTTTTTTTATTCACTCACAGTGCGATGTTCAGACCCCACTGTGTTAACCGCGTCAGCTAAACTCTCCCACTCTATTAGAGGACAAACTTGCAAATAACAGTTTTCTCCTGTCTACCTCTGATAGGAGCGCCTCCAATTCACATTCTTTGAAGTTTCTCTTCTTGCTTGCTTTTTCTATTGCTTTTGCTTGCTTTTTTTTGCCAAAGTAGAGTCAATACCATTATTTATAAGGGGGAGGAGGCAGGGAGGGGTTTTTCGCTCATGCACGTGCGCTCAGTTTTAAATTAGTTTGGATGTACAAAGAGAATATGCGTGGAATTCAGAGTACGCAGTGTTTCATACATCTGAATTTTTTTACTGTGTAAGCACATTTACAGCTTTGTCCGTACGCAATGTTTTAGTATTAATTCAACGCAAGTCTTTGTACATGAGGCCTCTGATTTGTATCGGGTTAATCATTCAACACTTTAGGTTTAGCTTTCAGACACTTGAAATAATTAGTAATAGCAAAACAACCATTTATAGGTCATGAAATACACAGCTGTTGTCTGCGAAAATGGCAGTAATAATTATATTTAACAATCTGCCAACATGCTTTATTTACAACATACAGTATACACATTCTGTACATAATTGGAAAGTTTAGGCTGTGTGGAGTTGTTCTATTGCACAAGTGGGTCACTTTAGGACACTGCAGGTAAATGTGGCCCATATCCTAACGGTGTCAGATTTGGACCAGTTTACCTGCAGCGTGAACTTAGCCAGTGTTTTACTACCAGTTACATTATTGAGTGTTTACACTTCTTCTGCTGTATATGTGCAAGCAGGAAGTACACAGTCTGATCTGGCCACGTGACATTGATGCATTTTAATTAAAATGAAACCATTTCTTTCAATTTAAAGTTAAATTTCTTGCCCAAGGCCAACCATAAACTTCTAGAAAAAAGAAAAAGAACTGTGACCATGAGGATTAAATGGGTTATTAATGTTTGTATTTGTATTACTGTTGTCTTAAAGTAAAGCTGAGAAAAGACTTTACCATTTATGTGAGTCTGATGTAAGATCACACATGCTTATCGGTCGCCTAGCTTGTTTCCAAGTCCTTTTCAAGACACTTATTTTGTAGACATAGCAGCAGAGTTAATGGATATGTTTTCTCTATGTCTGGCACATACAAGCCATATTTCTCCACTCACTAGTCCATTAAAGCTGGAGCAAATGTCTGATGTCTTGGGGTGAAGAAAAAGAAGCTTTCATTATTGAGATCTGCACTTTTAGACATCTTTTTTTGTGCGTCTAGACTATCAAGGCAACAGTGCCATCTAGGGGTTTGCAGTGATGTTGCATATTATTACGGGATGATGATTTCTCTGTGCATGTGTGTGTGTGTGTGATTAACTTTGTTTTCGTCTTCACAGACTGCTTCGCTGAATAAACACCTGAGTTCCCTAATGCCGGGATTGACTGCAAAGGTTTTTAGGACATACAATGCTTCCATAACCCTGCAGCAACAGCTGAAAGAGCTCAGCAACAGTGAGTTGGCCTGTTTTTTCTTTCTCCTTTTATTTCTAGCATTCTATCAGTCAATTTCAAAGAACGTTCAACATCAAGACAACTTGTACAAATTCCAGATGTTCAGTCATGTCGTCAATATGGATATGAGCTTGAACATTTGCTAAACTGCTCAAATATGATTCCAATATGGATTTGCTGTCAGACTGTTCAAAACATCGTTTGCATTTTGACAACTGTGTGTCCACCAAACATATGGATATTGTTAGTATGACAGTGTGTCTAAACTCCATGCAAGCGATCATAATCAGCAAACTTTATAGGACACCTTGGCCATGCAATGTAACCAACCGTAGTTTCAAATCAGTGTCTGCAGTTCATTGGAGGTTCTTTTTTTTTTTTTGCTTGATGGTTATATAGTTATCATTTTTCAATTAGCATTTGTCATTTAGCATACGTTCAACTTGTATTTAATCATACAGGTTTTTTCTTCACTTTTACTTTGTTGTTTGTTTTATTTCTGTTTTGTTTTAAAATTAGTCGATGAATAGCTTTCAGTTACATTACATTGTTTTCCTTAAGAAATATTAACCTTATTTATTAAAACATGATGCTTTGCCCTTATTATTAAGCATTAACAAATTGCTTTTAACAGATCACAGATAACCCCAAAAGTTCTATTATTTCTGCAGCAATCGTAAAGATGTTTTAAATGCCACTGTAGTAGTACAGTATGTTTCTGTATTAACATGTGCTGTCTTAATTATAAATGTTCATTAACTGAAACATTGTGCTAGTATTTCAAAGTAGTTTCTGTCATTTTGACGGATAACAAATATTGTATTTGCATGCTTTAGAGGCATAACAATAGCTAATGCTAATAGACATTAGAATTAGATGAGACAACTGCATATTAAAGCATCTGTGTCTGAAAGCATTTGTGTGAAAGCAAACCTAGAAAGCGGCACATGGATTTGGGCAGAAAAATAATAGATTTGTAAAGCATTGCAGTAAACCATTCATTGGATACATCTTGGATTATATTGGGAGAGCAGACCACTAAGAATTAGTATAGAGTATTTAAAGAAATATATATATATATATATATATATATATATATATATATATATATATATATATATATATATATATACTGTACAATTTAACAAAGAATAAAAAAGAATCAGTCAAAAATGAAAGCAGGTGTTAGTTGAAACTCCAACAATTCAAATTAACAAATCATTCAGCCAAAGTGAAGGAAAATGAGTACGTGTTGTATAACCTTGTGATAAAGTCAATTATTGGTTTCGGTGGTATTGAGTTGAACTTCCCCAAGATGGAAGTGTCAAACTCTAATGTTGTAGACTGATGAGGAATTTGTATTTAATTTTTTTTTCTGTGGCTTCAGTGATTTTACACTGCAAGCTCGAGAAAAAGCTAAATAGAACATTACATGGTTTCTGGTTTGTAAAGCTTCTGGCCATAACTCGCACAAATTGCAAAATATTACATATATTATTTGGACGAATGGTTCCTTTTTAGCAGAGGTCTCAAGCCCCAGACCTTTAAGCCCCTTCTCCTCCTCTCTTCGGTCCGCAACTGAAGTAAAATATCCCCCCACACAAAAAAAAACATATTTTTGAATCACTATCATTGTTGTGCATATGGCCACATGTGGTTTTGCAGTAAAATACTGTTGGTCCCCATTTTGCCTCCTTCATGGCATAGAGCAATTTTCCAGTACCTTGTTGAATCTGAGATTTTGGTCCATATTGGCATGATAGCATCACACAGTTGCTGCAGATTTTTCGGCTGCACATCTATGATGCGAATCTCCCGTTCCACCACATCCCAAAGGTGCTCTATTGGATTTAGCTCTGGTGACTGGAGGCCATTTGAGTACAGTGAACTCATTGTCATGTTTAAGAAACCAGTCTGAGATGATTTGTGCTTTATGACATGGTGCATTATCCTGCTGGAAGTAGCCAACAGAAGATGGGTATACTGTGGTCATAAAGGGATAGACATGGTCAGTAACAATACTCAGGTAGGCTGTGGCGTTGACACGATGCACAGTTGGTACTAATGGGCCCAAAGTGTGCCAAAAAAATATCCCCCACACCTCACAAGCCTGAACCATTGATACAAGGCAGGATGGATTCATGCTTTCATGTTGTTGATGCCAAATTTTTACCCGAACATCTGAATGTCGCAGCAGAAATTGAGACTCACCAGACTTTGTTAAAATAATTTATTGTCCAATTTTGGTGAGCCTTTGCGAGTTGTAGCCTCAGTTTCCTGTTCTCTTCTGCTGCTGAAGCCTAACCGCCTCAAGGTTAGATGTGTTGTTTATTCAGAGATGCTCTTCTGCATACCTCGGTTGTAATGAGTGCTTATTTGAGTTGCTGTTGCTCAACACAGTCTGGCCATCCTTCTTTGACTTCTGACATCAATAAGGCATTTGCACCCACAGAACTGCCGCTCACTGGATATATATATATATATATATATATATATATATATATATATATATATATATATATATATATATATATATATATATATATATAATTATTATTATGATTATTATTTTTTTTTTTTTTTTTTGAGGATAAAAACAAACGTATTAAGATGTAAATGACCATTACGAAAAATGTAGTCATTGGATTTTGCAGTGCTTTTTTTTTTTTTTTTTTAGAAATGGTTATGTGGTCACGATAAGCATTCGCACCAAGTGTGCACTTACTTTTAAACTAGAAAAATAGATTAAACTCCAGTAGTCATACAACAAAATTAACATGAAAGAGATCACTTTTCTCAAGTCATTCCTGCTTGAACATGTTTTGATGAGCACATTCTAGCTTGTGCCGCTAACATTGAAAATGGTATTTTTGTCATTAGTCAGTGAATTGTGTTGCGCTAAAGAGATTGTTGTCTGCGAGTTGTGTAACTCGGAGTATCTCCCGTTTGTGAATGTGAAGTGTGTGTAATGCTGGGGTGGAGGTGTCGGATCGCCACTGAGAGCAAATCTGTTTTCTGCATCCGCTACAAGCTCTAATTAAATCAGCTCAGTGTGTGGCAGGGACTCGCCCATCAGGTGCCGTGTGTGTGTGTGTGTGTGTGTGTGTGTGTGTGTGTGTGTGTGTGTGTGTGTGTGGTGGGCATGTTGGCTTGTAATTAGCACATTTGCTCATAGAAGCTTGTTTAAGGACCTGAAATTATCCATTTCTAGGTGTTTTAACTATGTTTTTAATCTTTTTCCATCATTATTTTACGAGAATGTAAGCTTTTTGAAATGGTCATTGAAATGTTAATTATAATGAAGTTCAAACAATGGCCTGCAAAAATCAGATTATTATAAAAAAGATGCAGTGACTTTGATCATAAAAAGGCTGATTTATAACAGTTTATTTTAGAGATATTTTAACAAGCAGAAACCATTAAATTCATCAGAAACAAAACAGATTAACCTTTATAACCCAAGTGAAAATAATTAAAACAATTCAACCCTAAGTAAAAACTGAAATAAAGTCAATAATTAAAACTGACACATTCAATGAAAGAAAAGAAAACAAAACTAAGAAAAATGACAAATGCAACTAAATAACAATTCAAAAACACCAAAATATAAATAGTTTAACTCGAGCTAATATTAAAATGTTACTCTGTGATATTAAAATAGCACTTCATTATATATGTATATTATAATGGTGTTATTTTATATTAATAGTGTTGTAATAAGTGTTATGATGAGTGTTAGAGATGCCTTAATCAGGTTTTTTTGTCCTCTAGTTCGAGTCAGAGTCATTTGATTTTGAGTATGTACCGAAACCGATCCGATCCTTCTCTAATACATAACAAAGAATAAATAAGAGTGAAGAAACAGATCCAGGATGTTCCTTATTGTTGATTGTTGAATTC